TTATTTGTTTGGTGGACATAAGAACTGAATTTAGAAATAGTTTTGAAACAAATCTTTGTGCTTGACAAATAAAATTAATCATTTATAGGCTAATTGATGTCTGTGCATACAACACGTTTCCCTATCCACAAGAGTGAAAGTGAATGATGAGGAGTCTCATCTCTCATTCTCACGCTGTAGATGCTCTGTTTGACTGTTTTCTTGCTAGTGAAACGCTCAGTTTTTCCACTTTCAAAACCCGTCATGTAAATAAAAAATGCACTATGGCGCTACGCAACTGACTCTTAAAGGGAATGGAAGATGAGACTCTGATTGGTTTATTCTCAAAACACACCTATAACTCATTAAGAAAATAAGCTCAACCCTATAAGACCATGTACCAGAGCAAAAAGAGGATTTTTCCGTCCTTAAAATAGTAAAAGTGGATTCTGACACGCCCTTAATGCTTTTGCGCCCTGCACTTTGCACATGGATCGTCAAAATAGAGCCCTAAAATTATTAGTCTATAAGCCTACATAGCCACTGATAAATGAAGAGTTTAGATGCAAAACCCGCTAAATCAAATACTGTCTGAAATTTTCCTTTACAATGAGCTTTTTTTAAATCAGGCTCATGCATGGATGTTCAGTAATATCACTTTTATGGCAAAGAAGTCCTTTTGCTGGTCTTTAAAATGAAATCTCTCACCTTAAACAAAGGAGGTTAAGAAAAATGTTAATATTTCATTAAACTTTCAGACGGCCTAAGGAAGGACCAGCCTGTGACAAGTTTAATTTTAAAGAAAATTAAATACTTCAGATTAAAATAAATAATTATAAATGTTTACTGTTTTGCTCAAATTAATACAGTATAAATATATATAACCTACAGGTTACTAGTGTAAGAAAATATCAGCAATTTAAACATACTTTCAGTATCCCCTTTGCTTGAAATGAACTGATCTAATCCTGTTTATTTTAAATAAGCCTGCTCCCAAGCAGGTTTGTGCTACCAGATCTCTTGCTATGACAACCACTCTTAGATGAATATTGAAGAATGAAACTATCCAGGATTGTGTCAAATTGTTAATAACCAAATCCAGCTAATGAAGTAATCCACAGAGTAAAACTGATCAAAACCAGAGCATGACACCAGTGTTAGCTATAGATTATTCACTCTATAAGGCACTCACCTGAAGAGCTCTCTGAGCCATATTCCGACACACCCAAGCCACATCATTTGTGTATATAGGAAAGCGTTGCTGACAGTGGTCTATAGTGCAACTCTCGGATCCTTCCTGAACATGGTCAAACAACACGGTCAACGAGTCTTCTCAACCTTCTCCACCACTCCAAACAGAATAGGCACTCGCAGTACAGCTGCACCTGCACAGAGCACTAACACACATTTCTTCCAATATTATAGTAGAGCAGTGTTTCTCAACTGGTGAGAACATTTTCAGTGGGTCGCAACGTGTGTGTGATCAAAAGTTGAATTTTTTACTTATTTTGCTAATATCTGAGATTTATTTTGAAACCATACAGTTTGACATTTGAAATTTTATCGCAAGTACAACCCCCAAGATGTAAAGTGTGGATTTACATATTGATGACAAAAAGGGTTAAAACCTGAATGTGTCATTTGTAGTGAGGTGCTCTCACAAGAAACAATGAAACCTTCTAAATTAAAACGTTTAGAAACCAAACATCCCAGTTGCAAGGACAAAACTGTGGACTAGACGACTCCAATAGCTGAGGGCATCACAAAAGTGCCGAACATCTTCATGTTCAAAACAAGTACAGGCACTCCGCTCATCTAACTGTGCTCACTGTGTGGAGCAAAGGCCAAGCCCACACAAAAGTAGTAGAGCAAATAACTGGTGATTATTATAAAAATGGTTATGATTATTTTAATCCTTTTACTTTAATTTGCTGGTTTGTTCTGTTCAACTGGATCAGTGTTAATGTTTTATAAACAGTTCAGTTTAGTTAATGGTAACTGAACTTTTCCTTTCCCTAACCACTGTTTACAGTATTTGACGTTTTTACTCTGTAATATTTCTATAATTTGATACATTTTGTTAAATGACAGCAGTAAAATATTGTTTATTTGTAAGTCTAGGTGATTTTCTTATGATTTATCTGTCACTAGTTGTCTATGTTAACAAATAAATACAAATCAATTTTAATTCCTAAAATTAGGACTATAGTTCCAAAAAATTTGGGTCACGGCTTGATGACCATTTAAAAATGTGGGTCCCATGGCCAAACCAGTTGAGAACCACTGTAGTAGAGGATGATAATAGTAATACTAACAAGTAATGGTAGAGTAAATCATAAGGAGCTGTAATGACTTAAAGTCAAATGCAGGTTGAAGGGACTTTATTTAAATTAATTAACTCCTTCACTATGACTTTACTATTACAATGAGAAAGTTCTAAACTACAGAAAATGCATTTAAAAACTTAGATTTTTTATTATTATTATTTTTAAACTTAGTAAAGAAAGCTTCAAAATACCTCTTGTATGGAGAATGGGGTCACCTGCATCACTCAGGTATCATTTTTTTTTTACCAAACTTCTACGAGGTCCAGAGGCCTGCATTTGAGCCAGAACCCATAGGGTCGCGACTTTATGCCCCTAGGGCCAGGTTTTGGGTAAAATTTTACATCATACCTAGCACACAGTGGGCTTTGGGTCTGCTTTAGAAAAAAAAAAAAGAAAAAAAAAACATTCTTTTTTTTTTTTAATGAAATGTAAAGCGTGCGGTTCGGAGCATAGAGACTTCCAGCCACGTGCAATGGAGAACAAAGAGAAAAATGGTTAACTTAAATCTGTAAAACTCTATAGAAAAAGCAAATATCTGGTCAACTTTTCAAACAGTGACAACTTTAAACGTCGACTTTAAATGATTATGCACAACTTGTAAGTTGAGAAAACTCCCTGTGGATGACATACTGCTTGGATATCAATGTCACTTAAAAAACGCAAACTTGTATTCAAAAAGTAAACAAACAAACAAACAAACAAACAAACAAACAAACAAACAAACAAACCTCCAAACATATCTAAATTATTCTGATAAAAAAAAAAATAAATAAATAAATGAAAAAACAGGATGGTGACACAGTGGCGCAGTAGGTAGTGCTGTCGCCTCACAGCAAGAAGGTCGCTGGTTTGAGCTAGGTCAGTTGGCGTTTCTGTGTGTGAATACTTGAGGAGGTGACGCAGGGGTGCAGTAGGTAGTGCTGTCGCCTCACAGCTTGGCTGGGTCAGTTGGTGTTTCTGTGTGGAGTTTGCATGTTCTCCCTGCGTTCGCGTTGGTTTCCTCCGGGTGCTCCGGTTTCCCCCAGTCCAAAGACAAGCGGTGCAGGTGAAATAGGTAGGCTAAATTGTCCGTAGTGTAGAAGTGTAAATGAGTGTGTGAATGTTGCTGGATAGTTGGTGGTTCATTCCGCTGTGGCGGCCACGGATTAATAAAGGTACTAATGCCTAGTTCAGACTGCGTGATTTTAGCCCCGATTTTGGCTCACCGACAGGTTTTGAGAAATCGCCGACAAATGCTTAAAATCACAGGCAAATCCGATGCCTGCGAGATATTTAGCGTGCTAAATATCTGGAGCTGTCAGTGATTCAAATCATGCCGTGTGAAATGAGTTTTGACTGAAAATAAAATCAGCGATCGCCTACAGTCAAGAGAGCAGCATTCACTTGAGTGTGAGTGTGTGTGTGTGTGTGTGTGTGTGTGTGTTTATGTACCTGCGGCAGGCCGGCGGGAGGCTGGGGGAGAAGTTAAAAGCACTTATTTTCGATTTATTTGGACCCACGAAATGGAGGAAAAACTAATGGAGGTTTGACAGGACTCAGGATCACCAATGTCTGTTTGACGTTTCATACAGAAAGAAATTAATTTATTATTAACTTAGGTTCAGGAGAAATGGCCAATTCCCTTTAAACCCAGGTGAGCAAATAATGTACATTTTCTACCCCATTAAAAGCTTCTTTCTCATTATGTAGTTAATATCAAAATATATAGCCTACTACGTGTTTTTGGCAGTGAGATGTAGTTTGGACGAAGTTGGCGGCGATTCTTCCTATAGTAAAGTCATGCAATGTGAAAGTCCCTGTCGCCGATCCATCTTGCAGTGTAAACAAAGCAGCGACGAAACGCAAGCCCAGATAGTCATGCAGTGTGAAAACATCTGTGACACGACTTCTTTGTTAATCATGCAGTCTGAACTCGGCATAAGCCGACAAGAAAATGAATGAATAATAAAAAAAAAAACATCAACTTTCTATTAAATACAAATCTGTTATATTTTAATGGCTGTAACAGTATAAGTTGTTTGGCAGAAAAAGACGGGCTTCAGGTCAGACTCAGTTTGGATCATAGGGTTGCAAGGATTATATCGACAGAGGAATTGAATCAAATGAAATTGTATATCCTCATATTCTTTAGCATCATTTAAAACCGGTGACATAATACTGTTCACCACTGATTGTGCTTGCAGGTCATGATTCTTGAATATTACAGATTATAGTTTACATTACAAATTTTTTTACAGGTCTGCTTTCCATCTACGGAGCAATTTCAACTGCTGTCTGCACCTTCCATGCCTTTTTGCACCTTCCTTTCTTTATGTGTTCAAATATCAATTAAAGTATCAACAGTGAACATGAAGCATCGAGTGAAGTAGACAAGCCTCTATTCCACATTATCTTTATAGCTGAAACATAGATAAATAAGCATTAATTAAATATTAATTAAATTTTTTGGGAAATGTTCATGCCTGTTGATTAATATAGCGTTTTAAGATGTGCGATAGGATTGAGAGATAAATATGAAAAAAATAAAGGCGTCACATTACTACTCTCAACTTAAAATGCTGAAACTATAAACTGGCTTTCTTAAAATATGCAAACACTGTGGCTCGGTGTTGCTTTCAAAGCATCACTTAATATGTGTAGGCAACCAGACCTTTAAATTAAACATGTAAGAACAAACAAAACAGATGGCATCGATTATTTACATTCACTTTTATTATTAGAAAAATACCTTGCATTAAGACAGACCAAAATTTTACAGATTGTAAGTCACTTTGATTATCAAGTCTATTCTAGACCCAACCAGACATTCATTTTTGCATTCATTAATAAAGAGTACATTTGCATAACTGTTAAACAACAAATAAAAACAACAACATTCTGTTTAATGTGTCAATGCAAAAAGATCAATGTGTGTAAAAAGTCCTTTGTCGCATTGAAGGAATATAAAGAGGTGCTTAAGACAAACATTGCTTTTGGTTAATTTGGTTAAAAGCACATGTCACAGAGACAACAGAAACACAGAGCCGTCCAACATGTGGCTAGACAAGCCTTCTCTCCAGAATGATGATGATGATCACGCCTGTTCTGCTCCACAACAAGCACTGGAGAAAAACACACACATACACAGCTCACATAATACCAGTCAAAGAGAAGAAATCCCATTTTACTTCACCTTATATCCAATCTGACAAGCTTGTTACAATGTATAAAACAACAAGAAATAATAATAAATTGTATTATATTACTTAAACATCATGATCTCACTGACAAATGGTTACTGAACTAGTTGTTTTAAGGATAATAGTTGTATTCATTTTTAAAATGACAATCAGTTAGCATTTGGGCTCCAATGGAATTGTTAAATAATGATTTTAAATGTCATTCAATTATTTCTGTTATAAATATACCCAAGACGATTTTTGTTGTATATAAAATATCACACTGAATAACATTTAAGAGGACACAATCAGGGGTGTGTTTCCCGAACAACGACATGACTCACGATGCATCATACAACAATGTAGTGATGAGTGTTTTCCCAAAACTGTAGTTTCTCTGTCGAAGATCCGTGGTTTGAACCATGTTAGTAATGATGTAAAACCTAAATAATGATGCTCTTAAAGGGGCGAAGTAACAACTTCTTTAGAGAAAATGGCCATAATTTTTGTATAAAATTATATCATTTTGCACCCGCCCACACACTTAAAAAATCCAGCTAGCTGCCCTTTAAACGAACGAAATAGCCTCATGAAAAGTATAAACACATAATGAAAAAAAGTTTTACAAAACATTTCAACTAACTGGTGTTTTGTTGTTTAGATCTGTCAAACTCATGGATACAAATGAAATGAGACTTTTGATCTTGAGATTTCGAGGTAGTTTGACTGAAGGTAAACCAATGAATGCTTAAATAAGAGTATGCTCAACTTTCAAAATCAAATCCCTTACCAGTGTTAGTGGGAGGTCCTGGTTGTGGTTGTGGGTATCCCTGGTATCCCGGCTGGACTGGATAGGGGCCAGAGGGTCCAGGAGGGTAGTTTGGGTAGCCCTGTTGTGGGTAGCCCTGTGGTGGGTGGCCCTGAGGTGGGTAGCCCTGAGGTGGGTATACTGGAGCAGGACCAGGCCCCATGTAAGCAGGTGGCTGCTCGTAATTCATCTACACACTGCACCTCTTGTGGTGGCCTGACAAAATCAATGACAAAATGGCTTAAACCACTAAAACTGTGACAGGAAGTCATAGAGAAATCAAGTGGAGCATTGGGGCTTATTCCATTTGGTTTCATCTTGTTAAACCTTCAGTATTACTCTGCTGAGTGTATTAAATATGTTAAAGAATGGATGACCAACAATTTTCTTCTCTTAAATTTAGACAAAACAGAACTATTACTTATTTGGCCTAAAACCTGTACACAGTAGATCTCACACCTCAACCTAAAATTAGAGGGATACAAAATTTAGCATTAGCTCGACTGTAAAAAATCTGGACGTTCTATTAGACAGCATTTTAACTTTTGAAAATCTTATCTCCCATGTCACAAAAACCGCCTTCTTTCATCTGACAAATGTTGCTAAGTTATGAAGTATGCTCTCCATCGCAGATGCAGAAAAACTAGTTCATGCTTTTATGACTTCTAGACTGGACTACTGTAATGTTCTGTTTGCTGGCTGCCCAGCATCCTCCATTAACAAACTTCAGTTAGTGCAAAATACAGCTGCCAGAGCTCTTACCAGGTCTAGAAAATATGATCATATCACCTCAATTGTATCCTCCTTACACTGGCTGCCTGTTAAGTTCCACATTGATTATAAAATATTGCTCCTTACCTACAAAGCTTTAAATGATCCGGCTCCTGTTTGTCTAACCAATAATCCAACCCGCTCTTTAATATCTAAAGCTCAGGGCTTCTGATAGTACCTAGAATAGCAAAGTGTACTAAAGGAGGTCGAGCCTTCTCATTTATGGCTCCTAAACTTTGGAATAGCCTTCCTTATCATGTCCGAGGCTCAGACACACTCTCTGAGTTTAAAACTAGGTCTCTCTCAGTTCAAAGACCTACTATTTTAGTTAAGCATAAACCCACTGCATCACATAATGGTAAAATAAATGAGTGTGCTCCATGCATGTGATTGGGCTTGACAACCACCTGTAGGATACACTCCTCCTGTCTTAATGCACCAGACATTTTTGCTAAAAACTATCAAATGCTTTACATGCTTTTTCCCATGTTCGTTTATATAACTACCATTTTCATTTACAGCACTTCATTTTGCGTTTTGTGTTTAAATACACTATGAACAGCAGCTATGCAGATTATTTTCTTTTTTTCTCTTTTCCACCTGGGGATAGTCATTCCTAGGTCTCTAGAGATTATGCAGTGCCATCGATGCGATCCAAGACCTGTGAAGAGATGATCCCAAGATATCTAAAATCCTGAACCAGGCCGTATCCTGAGCTGATGATGTGGTGGTCATGGAGGAGTGGAGAGCATGAGATTGACTCCTGAGAGACCCCAGTGACAGACAAGTCTCTGCATTGATCCTGTGGGCCAGCCTGAACACCTGCCGATGACCTACTCTCACCTGCAGTTCTCCAAAATGGACATCCAGTGTTCTCCAGCCTCTGGCACCTAGACTGCAGCTCTGCACAAGAAGTTTGGCCAGAGGAGAAAAGGTCGTGCCCAACAGAGCCCGGTGTATCTCTAGTTTTTTTTTTTAGTTTTTTTTTTTATTTTGTCAATTGGTGAAGTTTGTTCCTCGCCTTGCTTGGTTGGGACTTGTAGAGCTGTGCATCCAGGATTTGTTCTTCAGTGTTTGGACTTTCAACAGTGAAAATGAAACTGAACTGAACTTCAACTGAAAACTGGACTGACACATTTTCCATTTACTAGAAAGTCTATATTAAGCTGCATTGACACAATCTACATTGTAAAAATGCTATAGATATGAAGATGAATTGAATTTAAGGCACAGCATGTCATTTTCATCCACTAGAGGGCACATATTCACAACAAACAAAGGCATAGTTTCAAGACAGAGTTGTGTTCTTTACTACATCCTATGGGACTCCTGCAATTTTGGGAATCCTGAAATCATATCGATGGATAAGCTAAGGTACTCAAAACTGGTAGCATGAAGTAGAGCAAGGCTGAAAGAAGTCAAAGCAAAATAAGAGCATTGAAGCAGCTGCTGATGAGACAAAACTAATATGATAGAAGCGAAGGATTTATTAAGTCAGACTAAATGCGTTTTAAGCTTCTGTTATAATGCTGCGCTGTGCATTATAATAAAACATAACATGTTAAACCATCTTTGATGTTTCCCATTTTTTAAAAACTCAAACCGGAAAGGTGAACAATGCATGACGCCATTAGCATGGTGAAATAGAATATGGCACGCGCTACTAGTTAAAAGGTGCTGTATGTAAGTTTTTGACTCTCCTAAGGCATAAAAATACCATAATATGTTTGCAGATATTTAAGAAACATGCTAAGCGAACATTCTTGTTTATCTGAAAAACAATGCTGAAGTCAGATATTCTGACTCTGATACACTTTGAAAATGTGCATGAATGTGTCTTTGTTTTGGTCCCTTTAACCCACCCATTGCCAGTTAAGCCAATTATTATCATCCGGTGTTGCCCTTGTGGGAAACATTGCATTTTATTCATGAGTCAGGAAGGCTTTCAAAGTAAGAATCTGTGACTGAAATGCGACCTCCGGTGGACAGTAGCAAACTCTGAAATGAGGCTCAGATACGTTTGTAAATAGGAGGCGAGCAGGATACATTGTAACCCTGTGTCCTAAAAACTCGTTACCTGCGTGGTGAGATTTGCAGTGATACACAATTAGGCTTTTTGCACCACAAAAAAAAAGAAATTCAAATACAATCAGAAGCACAGAATAGTGCACTCACTGCACTCCAACAAAATAGTAAGGTTTATAACCTAAATAATACACAAGCCTCATTAACAAATTAAAATGTACATGATGAATCACTGATGTGTGTTCACTTGCAGTGAGTCACAGTTCTAAAGTTCAATTTCAAAACGTTTTATTTTAAAGTAGAGGTGTGAACCTATACTGGTCTCACGGTTCGGTTACGATTATCATGCCTTCGATTCGGTTCAATTCGATATTTTGGTGCATCACGGTGCATTGATGATGCATTCAAAATACAGTGTTATATTTTAGAGGAGAGGCTATAACAAGCTGTCTGTATAAACACACAGAGACACAGCACCACACTGTCTCTCATTCAAACATAAACATAGACAGCACCAAAGAAACAAACACACACACACACGCACACACACTTAAGCCCTCGCAACAGGGAGAGCTCGCGCTGAGCGGAGCAGAAAAATGAAAAAAAAAAACGAAAAAAATAAGCAATTTTCCGACGGTCCCTTACTGAGAGCTCCTCTCAGCGCGAGCTATCCCGGCTAAACACATATTGCGAGGGCTTAAACGGAGCAGTGCTCGTAGTGTGGAGCGAAAAAAAAAAAGAAAGACAGCTGTGAAACATAACCAGCTTTGTCTTTTTGTAGGAAACACACTTTAGATCTTTTTAGGGTAAGAGGTTTTTGAGTTATTACCGTCTGTAACTGAATGTGTGTCAAGAATATCGAAAACAAAACCAACTGAACCGCGCTCATTTCTGTCGCCCTCCTGGATTTACAGCGCCCTTAGAATTTGCCTATGGTGCCTATGCCACGGACCGGCCCTGGGTTGGCTGAGTGTTGTATATACTCGCGCTCACCGCCCTCGCGACAGAGAGCATAGGAGATAAATGACGTCAGTACATAATAACCGGTTATGATTATTACTGAACCGATACCGAATTGTCCGCGTCTGCATCGCGGTGCACCAAAGAAACAATTAATTTTGACACCCCTATTTTGAAGATTTGAGGTGAACTATCTGCTGCCATTTCAGTAGTATGGCAATAAATGTCATGCAATATGACATTCAAACTCACATTATTATCATTTTACACTGAATAAAGCACATGGGGTGTACCTGAGGTGATCATTGTCAGTTTATCCTATTGTTCAGCTGCAAGAACTAGATGTTAAAGTAATGTTAAAATAAATGTTTCTAAAATATACATTTCAGATGTTGGTTAGAGCAAAAACTCCTTTTAAGATGGAAAATAGTTCCTCTATGGAGTGCTGTTGCTTTTATTTAAAATAGTTTAAATCAGCCTTTAGGCTTGACAGTCACACTGCTGTTGGTGTCGTCAATCTGGCAACCTGCGTTTGCGTGTCTTTTGAACCGGGAGTGGAATACCTAGTTCAACCAATGGGTTTCAAACTTACATACTGCACCTTTAAAATTGCTTGCTTCTCTGCATTTGAACATTCTTTGAAAATATTTGGGATTATTTCTGTTCCACAATTTCTAGTCAGTGAGATGTTTATGTTTTTAGAGGACTTAATTTTTGCTGCATTTGATATTATGATTTTTCTTTTTAATTTAACTATAATAATAATACATTTAAAATTGTATGTAATGGAGAATTTTTTAAAATCATTTAGAAATCTATTTCATTGCATATTTGCCATTTCTAATGGCATTACAAAGAAAATTGTTACATACTTCAAATGTTCATCTGTGGTTCATGAACATTTGAAGTACGTAACAATTGATGTTTCCGTATGAATAAGCAACTTCTAGGAAACACCTGCAAGCCCTAGTGTGAATGAAGAGCATTTTAAATCGAAACACAGATTCCTAGAACAGCATTGTTCACACCCTTGGTCATTTTTGGCTACTCAAATGGTATTGACTATGGCCACCAGTTTCCCCATACTGTTTCTCTGTTAACTAAGTTTAAACTCGCTGTTTAGTTCAGTCTCCTGTAACTTCTTGACTTTTTGGGTGACACTTTCTCTCCTCTATCTCGCTTTTTCCAGTATTGCGTTAAAACTATCTTTTTGAAATTACTAGAACATCAGTATTCCTTATTGTATTCCTTTTGTCGTCAAAGTACACCACAAAAGGCTCCATTTCGCCTATCGTGAATGAAGTTCTATGACAGTACTTCAGTCACCCAAAAAAAATCAGACATGCCAAATTAAATTTATTTGTTAATTGACATATTTGCCTCTTGAACTACTCACGTTTGTCAAAAAAAAAAAAAAAATAATAATAATAAATATACATACATACATACATACATACATACGCCATGATGACAGTAAATAATATTTTACTAGATATTTTTTAAGACACTTCTATACAGCTTAAAGTGACATTTAAAGGTTTAACTAGATCAATTAGATTAACTAGGCAAGTTAGTGTAAGTAGGCAAGTTGTTGTATAACAGTAGATTCTTCTGTAGATTATCAAGAAAAAAATAGCTTAAAGGGGCTAATAATTTTGTCCCTAAAAAGGCTTTTAAAAAAATTAAAACTGCTTTTATTCTAGCCAAAACAAAACAAATAAGACTTTTTTCTAGAAGAAAAAATATTATCAGACATACTGTGAAAATTTTCTTGCTCTGTTAAACATAATTTGGAAAATATTTAAAAAAGAAGAAAAAATTTGAAGGGGGCTAATAATTCTGACTTCAACTGTATATTCATTCATTCATTCATTCATTCATTCATTCATTCATTCATTTTCTTGTTGGCTTAGTCCCTTTATTAATACGGGGTCACCACAGCGGAATGAACCGCCAACTTATCCAGCAAGTTTTTATGCAGCGTATGCCCTTCCAGCCGCAACCCATCTCTGGGAAACATGCACACACACACACATTCATACACTACGGACAATTTAGCCTACCCAATTCACCTGTACCGCATGTCTTTGGACTGTGGGAGAAACCGGAGCAAACCCACGTGAAGGCAGGGAGAACATGCAAACTCCACACAGAAACATCAACTGAGCCGAGGTTCAAACCAGCGACCCAGCAACCTTCTTGCTGTGAGGTGACAGCACTACCTACTGCGCCACTGCCTCGCCTGTGTGTGTGTGTATATTATATATATATATATATATAATATATATATATATATATATATTTATTATATATATATATATATATATATTTATTATATATATATATATATATATATTTATTATATATATATATATATATATATATATTTATTATATATATATATATATATATATATATATATATATATATTTTTTTTTTTTTTTTTTATTATATATATATATATATATATATATATATATATATATACAATATATATAATTTTTTTCATGTATTATATCATGTATACAAAAACACTCTATGGAGAGCTCAGATAAATGTCACCAGAAAACAAAACAAAACACAATGACAAGAACTGACAAGAGGTTGAACAGAAAAGGGAGTATCCACTTCATTTTCCACAGAAGAGCAGGTGTGGCCATCATATTTCATTTTATCATGTTTTACTTTATCATATTTTAATATTTTTTAACACACAGCACAATCAGTTTAACTGTTTACTGCCATTTTTATTTCTTGTCATTCCTCCTTAGGAATAAAGGAATTGATCTAATACAATCAGAGAAAACTGCTTACTTCTGCAATGCAAAATACCATGGATAAAATAAGTTAAAAAGGGAACTGAATGGTAAACTGGTGACCATAATTAATAACTAGATTACGTAACCAAGAAATCCTGTGTAAAACATTTCCTAGAAGCAACTCATCCTCAATGAAACGTTTGAGCAATGCTTACTTTTTTTTAAATTGTGCATGACAAACGGTCCATCAAGTGCAGGTGAACAGGTTTATAATTGACACAATTTCACAAAAAAAGCTTTTTGAAACATTTCAGCTAAGCTAATTCACTCTACTAATTACAAATGACTAATCAAATTATGTAAGGAATAACATTACACCCTGATAACCAATTTAACATGCCAGATGAAACAAGCACAGTGTGTCACAGAAGAACTGATGATAGTGTCAAGTACATGTGTTGTTTTTTTACCACTCTCTGTGATGGAGAAAGCACTGTTACAAACCCGCAAATAAGAATATGGGTTAATGGAAATCAGGCGACTGTCAGTGGATTCATTCACATGAAGATGTTTGTTCAGCCAAAGAGAGGTCAACATCTCATTTGCTTCGCAACACATTATGAACACCACACAGCAGTTTACAACACAAAAGCAAAAACTTCAATAATCATGATATACGTTATAGCTTCCATGACTTAATATATACAGTACGGTAACAGGACATCACTAAAAACACCATAGTCAAACACAGAAAACAATTATTTTCTGTGCGTCAGTGTAAGGTGTGGAGGTACTCTGACTGCCAAGATGGACAGTTTAGCAAAACCAGCAAACAAGCGTATTTGTTAGCATTAATAATTATATCTAAAAACTAAACATGTTTTAATTAGCAAACGTAAACTTTTAAAGAAAACCCAAAGAAGGTGATTTTTTACCTTTGGAAGAAAATGTTGATTATTTTCAGCAAATTGTCCTGGTAACGTTGATTCCTCTGCAGTTTTTCACTGTTTTGTTTAGTTTAATGAGGTTTATAAAGTCGACAGTAATGCGTTTTAGCAACAACCAAAAACAAAATAAGGCTTCTCGATTAGGTCACAACGCACGCGGTGGTGTCACGCAGAGTCCCTGGTACTGTCATATCAGCTGACCACTAAATAGCAGAGCGTGGTGACCACGCCTCGTTGTAGACGCGCCCCTACGATGCCACGCCTACTTTATACACATATAACTAATTTGGAAAACATTAAGTGGTAGAAAATATGGTTACTAATAAATTTTTATAAGTAATAAAGTAAGACATGTATCTTAAAATTCTACACAGAATTTATTCTGTTTAAGGGTTATTTGAACGGTTTGAAGTGGATATTGAAAACTCTTGTGGGATTTTTGTGGTTTTGTTAAAGAATCTGTTACTCATCTGTTTTTTCAATGTGTATACTCAAGATTATTTTGGATTGATATTTCTAACTTTATTTCAAGGATATTTGGTACACGACAAATTGGATTTTATGATGTCATGTTTGCTTTAGTACAAGATGGAATTGATTCAAAAAGTACAACTTATTTTCTTATACAACTAATAATATTACTTAGAAAGTACTATATTCATGTTAAGATATGGGCCAAAGCTAAGCCCAATTGTGAACATTTTATAAAGGAAATTAAACAATATGGTACTATATGTCAAAAAAAAAGCCAAAAAAAAAATTTGAAGCATTATGTATTTGATTATATATATATATATATATATATATATATATATATATATATATATGTATATATATATATAATTATTACTATTATTACTACTATCTTAACAATTTATTGAATTATTTTTACCCCTGGCTTCTGTTTATACTTTGATTGTATAACCAAAATGATTTTTCAAATTTTTATTTTATTTTGTTCATAACTGTTGTGAGATGTATTCTCTTGTACTATATATATATATATATATATATATATATATATATATATATATATATATATATATGTGTGTGTGTGTGTGTGTGTGTGTGTGTGTGTAAACAATGACTAATGACTTGTAACAGCTAATTAAACTGCTAAAAAAAAGGACGTTTTTATAACCCACCCAACTGGAAAAGGCAAACTGTGCATATAACATTTTGTCAATTTTATTAGCCCATATTTTTGTAAACCTATATTAAAAATGTGGGCAAAACAGATGTTTTTTAGCAACATGTACCGTAAGT